GAGAGCAAGTGCTAGCAGAGGCGGGGACGTGGCAGGACGTCGAGCATCGTGACCGAGAAGTGAGCGGCATGGCAAGCGCCGCGAGAGGTGGGCACCCTGCAGGGCGGCCAGGATCATTATCGAGAAGAGAGCGGCATAAGGTAGGAGGAGGAGGGACACCAAGGGAAAAGGAGACTGCATGGGGAAAAGAGAGGAGACATGAAGGAGAGGGAAGAAGAGCGGGATAACTAAGGAATGAGCAAGGACACCAAGGGGCAAGAAGACTGCACAAGAGATCGAAGGGTGGGAATGAAGAATCCAAGAGGAAAAAGAGAGAACGGGGCTAGCTAGCGGCACGATCGAGAGGAGAGTGGCATAGCGTAGCCAGCTGGTAGCGTGATTGAGAGGAAAGTGGCATAGCGTAGGAAAATAGTGTTCTGTTTCCATATTCTAGCGGAAGATTGCTCATTCTAACGATAGCCGCGGGGTTGGAGACTCACCTGTTGGCCAGTGCGGTGGCATAAGGAAGCAGGGGAAAAGAGAAAGATTATTACGCTGCTGCTCCTGTATGTGAAACCCGGCATGGGATGGAGGGGAAGAAACGATGTGCCGCGGACGTAGTCACGACCTCAAATCTTTCGATCTGAGAGAGAGAGAGAGAGAGAGAGAGAGAGAGAGAGAGAGAGAGAGAGAGAGAGAGAGAGAGAGAGAGAGAGAGAGAGAGAGAGAGAGTCGCACTGTCGAAACTTCATACATTTCTGTGTTCATTCTCATTCTGATGGAAAATTCACTTCTTCAATTACGAACGTTCCCTCTGCCACGGCGTAGCCGCGGCACGTTTACTTGTTATGCTTTAATGCTTGTATTGTACTATGGCTCAGAATCAGGGCTTGATCCGTGGACCTTATGCCGGGCATCACCAAACATTTTATTTTCCTGGCGCGTCCTAGGTACTAGTGCATTTACATTTCTGCCCCTCGGGCATTTTCCGCTGATACCCTTCTGATGCTGGCCTATTCCGGACATACCGCAGCGACCACATAGCCGTTAGGCTGCTCATCCACTATATTTACCGCCCACACGCATCAGTGTGACATCTTGTGTGCTGCTCCCAGGCCCATACCATCATAACTCGGGGTTCCCTGCTGGCACTCTTTGTGTATGGGGCACCCTTTCATCGAGTGCACATGTGCGTGCTCATTCCCCTCACCCTACTCCTCCTCTGCTAAACCCAGTTCTTGTTACTTATCTCCTGCGGTTGTCTGCAAACTGGCTCCAGCGTCCCTCACATGTTGATTCACCCAACACGCTTCGATTGCTTGATTACTACACTTTTTGCAGTGGGTTTGTCTCTTCCTCACATGAATGCCGGGTCTCCCCCCCTTTAACAAGGGGGGTAGCCCGAAACATTATTGCATCCATCAGGATCCGAAATCAAGCAATATTTTTTCCTTTTCCTTTTTCTTTTTTTGACTTATCATAAGATTTAATAGCCAGGCACTCATGAGATCTGACCGGAGTGGTGATGGCTGCCAGTTAGGTAGGTAATCATTCGAGACGGGTAACATGTTAGTTTGCAATTCAAATTCAATTGTAGGGCGGGAGATCGAGGCTCAACTAGGCGGATTCAAATTCTGGGAATGGGTCCGATGGGCTATCGGGTCAATATACCCAGCCCGACATGTCCTGGTGCACTGCGAGGGACTAAGCATGTCAGAAGCTGCACTGCACCTCCTGCGGAAGTCGCTCGGTGGCCAGCGAAACATGTCGAGGACTCTCTGCAATGTTTTCATTCTGATGGGCTTTCTGTTCGGATGTTGAGGAAGGACCCATGAAGAGAAGCTCGAGTGTTTCTTCTTCATTCTGGTTTATCCTTGTCCACGTACCCTCGTCATCGGAGGTGTTGTCGCTGCGACCAACCCTACATGTGTCAATCACAGGGGTCTCGTGGTGAAATTCAGTTGCCCTCTCAAGCCGTTTTTAAATGTGGTTTCTCAATGCAGTCATGCATTGTGACGGACCCACCGGGATGGCAGTCCGTCAGCAACAAGACGAAGGGATGAGCATGAGGGAGATGGAGATGGAGATGGGAGGGACAGCGCAGCTCCGACACAGACTCAACACGCACGTACTCCAAACTGTGCAGACGAAGAATGACTTGAAAACAGACTGCAGCTGGGGTATACCCCCAGCGGACTGACTGGACTGGCCTGGTACCGACCGTGGTACCAGGCAGGACTGGACTGGACTGAATGAGCACACGGCCTGTGGGATCAGGCCACGGCCTGGTCCCACAGGCCGAACAGGCAAAATAGCCAAATAGCCATGGCTCTAGGCCAGGGTAGCCAGAGGCACGATGCATGCGTACTATTTTTCAAAGTTCAGGAAAAAAGGAGTATAGCAACTTTAGCAACAAATCTGGTGAAGGGATTAGAGAGGGCTGTGGTAGTAATCTTCCATTTCCATGAGTGCATACAGCCAGGGAGCCGTGAAACAAGAGGTGCAACATTGTGAAAACCGGGACAACATTTTTGGCCATTTCTTTGCTTCAGGACATTCATAAATTCTCAGGTCCATTGTATTCGCGGCTCGCCAGAATGAGATGCTGCAAGCACTCGGAACACCCTTGCTTTAGTTCTCTTCTGTATGCGGATGCAGGTGCAGATAGCTACTCCATACCATTCTCCGGCCCCCAAAAGTACGCACATAGCTCTGGATACTGGTCTCTGGCTAAACAAATGTCTGCAAAGCTGCAAACAGATCACATGCTGCAATCATCCTGCAATCTGTTAACATGGTCACCTCCCCACCTCTGCCAGCAGATGGGTAATTACTAAGTAGGCAATCAGTTGTCATAGTCACCTACCTCCCCTCTCAGCAGATGGGTAAGTAGTAGGCACTCCATACCCTCCTTGCCAAAATCCAGAGGTATGTCATGATGGATGATTGATCAGACCCTACACAATCTCCTAAACAACCACTTCTGTCTAGAATCTGCAACCCCAGGCACTATACAGATGCAGAAAGCATCAGGCAGTCAGCTGATTTAGTCTCCTTTCCACTTGTCAGTAGAACAGGGAAGAGTGTCTGGCTAAACAAACTGTTTTCCTGGTCTCCGGCTGAACAACCTATTTTGGCAGGATGTTGCGCCAGAGACTCTGGTTTGCACAGTCTAGAGCTCAGCAAATGTCACACTGGAATCTGCTGCTGCAGATATTGCAAGTCCTTCGAATTTACAACCAAAAGAACATAGGATGCTGCATGCATCCTCCAGTCAGTTTGACTTAGGCTCCTTCCCCACTGTAGTAGGTAGGAAGAGTAGTTGGTTCTCCTCACCCTGTGCAGTGTTAAAAAAAAACAGCGGTATGAATGATTCATTAGATTCTGTGCATGGTCTTTAGCCGAGCAAAGGTCTCACAAGAATCTGCTGTCTCAGTCGCCCCCCCCAAAAAAACAAGCAATGGAGGCATACAGTCATGTACTGCGAGAGTAACACCTGAGTAGTACTGGGAAGAAAGGTGGTAACGCTGTTTTTTAGCGTGGAGGCATAAAGTCCTGTACTGCGAGGAGTAACGCCCAATGATTTTTATGTGATTATATCGTGTTTTCACTGCTTCCACAATGTATGCGTCCGAAAATGCATTGCCCACAAAATACCAGTCTCAAGTATGCCACAGCTTCTGCAGCCGCAACAACCGCCAGTCCTATGTAAACCATAGGTCTCCGATAGCAACAGACAGGATCAGCATGGCAACCGCTTCCTCCTGCTAGCGGGATTCGACTCCTGGACCTCCTGCTGTGTACCAGATGTTTCACTGTTCCAGCATGCATTTCGTACCAGCATACCTTGCATCTCTGTTCCTTGAACATTCTTCAATGGGCTTCTCATCCCGGCGACTCCAGACGTACCCCTTAGACATGTGGAATGTCATTAGGCTGCTTCCTGCTATACACGGACGCTTAAGGTCGTTAGGCTGCTTTACGGTATATGTACGGGCCACAGACATTTGTGTGACATCTTCTGCTGTCCATTGGCTCAGACCATTGTGGATGAATTGGACATCGAGTTTTCTGCTGGCACTCTTCAGAGATCGTCTGTTCACCATCCAGTTGATCACATTGTTGGAATCAGAGTGTGAGTGCATGCCCTCCTCTCTCTCCTCCTCTTCTGCTGTAGACATTGCATGCATGCCACAGACCCCCTTGATTTCTGAGCCTGTGTCGCTGCGTTTTCTCGATTGCTGGGAAGACGAGGTGCCCATTCTCACACACTCCACTGCTCACCCACTCAGCCTTACGCTCTCCCCGTACTGGTCTTCAACACACCTTCTCGCTCTCCCTCCGACGCATCCCCTTGCTTCCCCCTTTGTTCTCGAATCACAACCCGTCCTCGTGAAACTTTTGCTGAACATCAGGATTCCTGTACAGTAGAGAGATTTGTTCACATAGACTCGAGATTCCCAACACCTAGTCCCTACCGGCACTGTTGTGAGATCCATCACAGAGTCTCAAGACTCTTGACCCCTACGTAGCCCCTCATCAGGAATGTGCGGCTTGACAACAACACCCCACCCCCGCTGGTAGGATACCTACATCATGATGTTCCTTTTTCCCTTTGCCCTTTGCCACTACCAACTCGTCAACCCTCTCGTTAGTTCTTTTATCTGATCCTCTTGACTCTCGGTATCTCAAAGATTCTCTAGCCATCCAATTGCGGCTACTCACGAGGACTGGGACTCACTGGAGTGGTGTGGCACTTGTCAACATGGTCTCGACACTTCCGCCATCCTCAGTAACTACCTGCGCCATGGCATCCTCGCCCGCTGTGGCAAACCTGGGCTTGGCGACCTCACCCTCCCGAGCCTTAACATCTGTGCCCTCCTCGGCAACTTGCTGCATCTCCGCAACACTACCATCCTCGACAACCTGCTGCGACTTTGCAACGCTACCCTCCTCAACAGCCTGCTGCGTCTTTGCAACACTTCCCTCCTCGACAACCTGCTGCGCCTTTGCAACACTACCCTCGCCGACAACCTGCTGTGTCTTGGGCCTTTCCTCCTCGCCACCTTGTGGATGAGGTGCCTTGCAAGCTTCAGCGCTGCTGCTGCTGTTACGAGCATGGTGAGCGCCAGCTTCCTGACCAGCTGCATTGCCATCAGCAGACTGCTGCGCAATGGGGGGGCCGTCAATGAGCTCAGCGGCTGGGATTCCCTTAGCCAGCTCCACAATAGGGCTCAACATTACATCAAATGCACTCTTCATCTCTACCAGCTCAGATTTCAGGACATCTCTAGTTCCGTTCAAGTCTTTGTGAGCTTTGCCTATGTACATGGCAATACAGTCCTTGATAGACTTCCTTTCCACTTCGCCCCACTCCCTGATCATCTTCAACCTCTCATCTGCAGTCGTTACCACCTCACGCTCTGTGTCATCAAAGTTCTTTTCCAATTTGCTGATCCTCCCTTCGAGCCGATCAAACTGTTTGCTGATGACATCTTTGAGCCTTTTACACCATTCCTCATGGGCAGCCAATTTCCTCTGCAGCTCCTCATACAACTGCTTGACCACTTCTTGTGTCTCAACTTCAAGAACCTCCCTCCGATGCTCAAACAGCACCGACTGTTCTGAATCGCCAGCCAAACCCTTCGAGCCAACCTTTCCTGGTTCCGCATACAGTCGTGGAGCATCTTTACTACCATATTCTTCTGACACAGTGACATCCCTCGCTTGTGCTGATGCAGCGGCTGTGTGGAAAGAGCTTGGGGTTGACATGATAGGGGTCCCCCGCTCCTTCCTAACCCTTTTGACTGCATCTGCTTTCTTCCCAGACAATCCCAACCCTGAAGAAGGCTGCCTATCCTCCGATAAGTCCACTTCACCAGGAGAACCTGAACTCCAAATTTGCAGAGGATTCACGACTCCTTGCATGCCTTGTGCACATGGTGCTCCTGTCTCATCGTCCTCCTCTGGATGGAACAAACGATTATTCACATGTTCCGCAGGATGCAATGCATCCTCATCTGACGTATCCTGCAGGGTTTGCCTCCGAGGCTGCGATTTCTTCCTGGGCGTTCTACTTAGCATGTTAGTTTTCGACCTCTTGAGAGGCCCAGGGTTTCCGAACTCATCGTCCCATTCCAGCACCGAACGAGGCTGACTTCTTGAAGGCAGGCTCATTGTACCAGTGGGTGATGCGAGAAGATGTTTAGGAGATTTCGCCGTGCTTCTACCGTGTGTGTTCCTACAATCTACAGCATTGAAATGGTTACGGTCTAGATTTTCCCTTCCAGAGGCAGGTGAGTGGTGGGCGCGCACAGCGTAGCCAGCAGGCTCTGACAGCCTCTCTTGCCCGGTCTTGTAGCCAGAGCTGCCGGGCTGTTCTTTCACTCCCTTGCTTCTTTCCACTGCCCTCACCATGGAACCAAAGGCTGGTGAATGGGAGTTACCCCCATCACCGCCAGGTTCGGACAGCCTCTCTTGCATGATCTTGCGGATGGAGTTGCCGGGCTGTTCGTCTGTTCCCTCGTCTTCTCTCCCTGTGCCTGTCATCCGAGCACCTGCCTCCCCTGCCTGTCTGTCATTCTCAAGGTCATCAACATCATGGTCTACAAGCCCATCAACATCACAACGTGCTATGGTTGTCCCCCCCATTTCGGTTCTGCTACGGTTCACAGTCTCTCCTTTCCTCCCCCCCCCTTTCCCCACCAAGCTGTCCCGTGACCTTGACATAGCACCCATTTCTTCTTCGTTCCTCATCGGGCCAGCAGTTCTGGCTCCCTCAGAACTGGTGGCTACCTTCTGCGGATCATCTGTGTCTGGATGTTTTTCATCTTTCATTCCTTTCACCAGCTCCACCTCCCATTCTGTTTGAGGGCGCACATTCTTGCTCCTCGTTGCCAAGGCCGCAGGCTCCATGGATTTGGATGTGGTCGACAAAATATCAACTTTCCGTGCACTTTCATCTCCCACTGCAGTGTCAGCCATTATTTCATCAGAAAAATGAGGTGACTTACCATTCACATGCTCTGGAGCATGACTTTGCTTACTTTCCAGCTGTCGTCTTGAACTCAAGCAGGTGTGATCACCTGCAGCACCTGGCGATCTCCCGCCTCTTTCCTCATCAGGACTGCAAGCCCTTGACTTGGGTGGTGGGCCTCCATACTTCCCATCAGATACCTTATCTCCTTCTTTCATTGCCTCTGTCAGTACCTTTTCTTCCAAGGGCTCAGGAATGCACCTGATATCCAGAGCCTCAGCTTCGCCGCTACGCTTTCTTTGTAGCTTCTCCTCTTGGACTCTCTCCGGTATCCGGTGTTCCTGTGCTCCATTGGTTTGACCGTCGAGTAGGTCAAGACCCCTGTGGACCAGGTGGTCCCGTCCTAACCGGCCTCCACCATAACTTTGGACCTGATCTTCAAATCGCACTTGCTTTCTCCTTCTCAATTGATTGTTGCCCCTACCGACCGCCTGTGCTGTCAATGCATTCCCCTTTCCCACAATACCAACCTCTCTTGTTACTCGATGATTGTGTTGGGTTTTGTCCTGGGCTGCACCCAGGCTATTATCATCACATGATGGCCAATCATTGCACACCCTCTCCTGCCTCGGCATGATCCCTTCATCTCTTCTTTCCCTCCCTGTTCCATAAGGCTCTCTAGGGCTGCTTCTCCGAACTTTTCTAATTGGATACGGTCTGTACTCCTCACCCATTTCACCCTGTTGTAGTGGTTGTTGACCTGAACGTTGCCGTGGTTGTTCCCCTGCAAATCTCTGAAATTTCACATTCTTTTCGTATCCAAAATTGTCGATTTCAATACCTTCTCCCACTTCTCCTTCCTCTTCATATGCATATTCCTCTTCTTCCTCCTCATGCTCTTCATCCTCCTCCTCAAACGCAAACTTATGTTCTCCTGTCTGCTGAATATTCTGCCCTACACGGAATCCTTCCGGATTGTCAGCATCATCTGAGCATATCTCCTGGTTTTGATATTTGTTGGGCTTCCGGCTCTTCCGGCGCTGCTCGCTGACACAGTTCCTGACCCCATAAACCTCTCTGCGGCTTACATGGATGTTCTCTGGATGCTGTGTCCTTTGCCTACTACTGTTACCCCTTCCCCTTCCATCTCTGCACTGTTCTTCATCCAGATGCCCTGTGTTAGAAACCGTCATCGTCATCCGTTTTCCCTTCATCAACATTCGACGACGATTCCTCAATCCCTCATCCCCATTGATGAAATCGTGGAGGCTCAAAACAGGAGTTGCGATTCCCTTTGGGATTGACCCTGGTCCTGAATGTGCCGATCTGCTGCTGAGTGACGACAACTGGTTGCTGCCCCCAGATCTTTGTCCTCGAATGTCAGTCCTCATCTGAGCCCCTCCTTGCAGTTCTTCTGGTTGATCCACATCCATAACTCCATCATCCTCCACATACATCTCTTCTTCGTCATCCGGACCTTGAAACATCAGTTCCTCCGTGCAAGTACGTCTGGCCTTGGAGGCCCCACCGCGGAATCCCATGAAGCTGCCCTTCAATGATATCTCTCGCATCGTTTTGCTGACATCATCATTAACCCTCCTGCGCAGCGCCTTAGCTGGAGGCATCTGATTGTTTGCTTTTTCTTTAACAGGGTTCGAGTGCATTTTCCAAACGTTCTCCATCTTCCTTGACCTTGCTCTCTCGTCAGTGAGCTCCCGAGTCATCAATAGGTCTTCTTCCATAGGACTGATGCATCTGGCCAATTTTGTTCCAGCAGCAAGTGAATGCTCTGAGCCCAAGCCAAACTCAACTTCCCTTTTCCACCCATGCTGCGATGCCTCTTCACTTTTGCTGAGGGATGAACTGATGTACGCCTACTCTCTGGTCCACTTACAGCAGCAACCCCTTTTCACCTTCCGCATATTGCCATGACCCTCTCTTAGAGAGTTTCCAGTTCTCACCTTTCCTCCCTTCCAACTCTACTTATCAAATTATAGCCCTCACCCATGTCAATCGCACAGCCAAATGCACGAACCGCACAGGCAAATAGCTCTTCACCCCTCCCTCCATCACACTGCCCTCGCGCTCAGCACCAGTTTCTCTCTCTCTCTCTCTCTCTCTCTCTCTCTCTGCGTGTGTGTGTCAGAAAAACTCAGACTTAGTGCGCGAAAACAATAAGAAATTAGTTCAAGAAGTACTAAAAAACGTGCTAGTGGCAAAGGTGGCCTTCACACATGTGCACTCTCACATAGGCACACACTCACACACACTCGCACTCAATCTTCCACCCAGCCTGCACACACTCAGAGACACCGATTCTGTGAATTACTGATGCCCTCTCTCAACTGGTAACCAAGCATACACACTCACACATACGCGCACTCAATCTTCCCCCCAGCCGCCACACACTCAGACACACCGATTCTGTGAATTACTGAGGCCCTCTCTCAACTGGTAACCAAGCATACAAATCTATGTTTCCACACTTTCCTTTCCGCTTATCTAACTGTCTTTGTTCTTACACAAGACCACATGGATATGCTTCACATCATTTTTGTAACACCTATAACCCCGTTTCCTGTTTGCTGGCAATGTAGGCCAAAGCTGGCAGCAATTGTCTCCCACTCGTTCAGACAACCCACATGCACCCTTTTCAGTTTATGGTGACCCTGCATTGAAAAGCAACAACCGTTCCCAGATCAAACAGGTCCTTGGAAGTGCCATGGAAGCCTCCTAACTTCCAGGAACATTTAATACAACAAAACTAATCACATTCCGCCTCACTTTGCCCAAAAGACCTGCACAGGCAAAAATACAAGCAACTTGATAGATCAGTGCAACTACCTTTTTTGTATTCACATGGATAGGTGAGGAAATCATGTTTTTTTTTTTTTTAACGCACACAGGTCGCAGGTTTGTTAGAGGTGGTGGCAAGAGCAACCACCTCTAGCATTCCTGCGACAGGCTCCAGTCTGTTGATGGGGAGCTGCACCTGCTGGAAATCGGGTCCAGCGTCCCTCACAAAAGTAGGATCCATGGAGTCAGGGAAGATGGGCGAGTGACCCAGTCCCCTGTCGCCCAACACGCTGTACAGAGGGGGTCTACGGCTGTGTCCCAGGGAGCTCACCCCTCGTCCAGGGCACTTGTAATGGCCAGGAAACAGACCTATGTACCCAGTCGCACATTAGGGGTGCCGCGGGGGAGGGAGGGCCTCGGTAGCTGGGCACTGCCCCAGTCTCAGGGCCTCACTGCATCCCAAACGTTTGTCCTACTTCAAATCCCAATCCCTTACCACCTTACAACCTGTCCGTAGACTCGTATCTATCAAACAATTACCAGTTCTGCCCTTCCGGACATCAACCCCACACTGTTCACCCTGCTATGTTCCACTCCAGCTCTCCCCTGCAACTGCCCTCGGAGGGCTAGGATTACTAGCCTCCCTAAAATATTCCCCCCAACTCTCGTTTACGGATTATTTTCCTCTTTCTCATGCCCAACATCCCCCTTAGCATCACGATCCACTATCGTCCCCTCCCAAGCAAATCCCTACCCCCCCACCCCGGTCCTACCTTTAGTACTCCTACCCCGAGCTCACCTGAGCTAAAGAATCCTACTATGGAACACTACCAACTAACATCCCTTTCTGGGACATAATCCTCTCCTACTTGTCTAAGTCCGGAGGGTACTGCTGGAACAGTGGCCCGAAAGTGAAACTTCCCAACTGCGGGTCCTTTCTCGCCAGGAGTGGGTGCTTCTCCCATGTTTTCCAAAACTCAGTCGCCTCATTCCCCGACTTTCTTATCTGTTTAAGCCAGTCCAACAACAGGGCCATTCTCAGGACTCCATAGCTCTGCTTCTTAACCCCATCATTGTCACCTGCTTGCCTTGCCAAAGTGTCCACATGCACCACCATCCCCTTGACTTCATCTGACTCTCCATTGTCCACAGACGTCTGCTCAACCTCCCACGATATGGCGCCAGCAGCCCGGCTATGGCTGCTGCGCTCATGCTTCGCCTATGCAGCTTCTTCCTTGCACCCCATCAGCGCCCTTCTCCACTCTGCACGACTCTCGTCCAGCAAGCCAGCGCTCCAGCAGCGTTGTCACCATCCGGCCAACCAGAATGTGCGAATGAGTGAGCCTCACTTCCTCTTGTGGTGGCTGGCTGGACGAGGCAGGCTCTGGATGCTCTGCCTCTGTCCCAGTAGCTGCGCCCAGGGCCCTTCTAGAATGTGCCTGGGGCTCAACTGTAAGTGGCGTCAGCCTCAGCATCTTTGCTGGGCCCAGCATTTTCAACCCAGCGGGTCAACCAGTTGGTTGAACCTGTTACGTGCAGCAACCAACCGATGAGGCCACTTTCTAGTCACATCGGCCTCAGAAAAGGCCCGGTTGAATTTCCAGGGTGCCAGACAGTTTCCAGTTGCCGAGGGCCCTTTCCAATCTAGGCTGAGGGCCTCATGCTTTACGCTCCCTCCCCCTCTGCTTTGGAAGTCCTTTGAGAAAGTCTTCAATCCACTTGCTACTTCCCTTTAATCACCCTTTCATAGTGTGAATCGACTTCAGGGGTTGTCTTCATCAGCTCCTATCTCGTGAACCATCGATCTTCCTTGGGATCCGTATGATGTCCGAATCTGATCCGGAACTGCATCTGGGGTTTCGGTGGTCTTTCTCTGCCAACAGGCTTAGGTACAGGGATTAATTTGAGCTGAACTTCATCGATGTCGACGTATCCATCCATGGTCAGGGGCACCTGCTTGAAGGAAACTCGTTAGTTTCTGCGAAAGGAGGAGTTCGGATGTGTGAAAAACTGGGTAAGTATGTAGGTGTGGTGGTATGCAGGTGGCATATGATGGGCAATCTGGGTCTGAACCCACAAAGTCAAGAACTTGCCATGGCCCAAAATATTGCAATATCAGTTTGCGAGAGATGTCCACCTCTTGAGTAAACTCCAAATAACGTGGACCCGTTCCCCTACCGGAAACTTTGACTCACTTCCACAGTTGTTCTCAGATGCTATCGTGGCATTTTGAGGTTTCTAGATCTGCTCAACTGTCTGCTGCAGCAGGTTGTCATATTCATTCCAGAACTCGATGCTTCTTGGTGCTGCAGATGGTCCAGTATCAGGGAGGAGAAAGTCTAATGGGGTCTTGCGCTTCCACCCTAGGTGAAGTTGATGAGGAATCCATCCAGTTGTACTACGACCCGTATAGGTTGGCAATGAGAGGAAGTTTCTCGTCCCAGTCCTCATAACTGGGCCTGATATAATCCCGCCACAGGAGGTCCACTACGCAGTTCATCTACTCAGCCCGCCCATTAGTTTCTGGGTGGTTCCTATTAGTCATATATAAATGAGAACCCATTTGCTCCGCAGTCTTTGTCCACAACCCACTGGTAAATCTTACATCTTTATCGCTAGCTATGGATTTCGATAACTCAAAATCCCTTACCCAGTTCTCCATACGCATCTTAATCACTAAGTTTGTCTTCGTGGTCTCAGGCAACAGAACAAGTTTAGCGTATTTGGAAAATCTGTCTATGCTTACAGAGATATGTCTTGTGCCTGACTTGCAAGTGACCTGAGTATCCATGGAGTTCATGGACAAGCTCTGTCCTGGTCCGGCAGGAATAAGCAAAGGCTTGACCAAGCCAAGAGGTGCTCGAGTCCTAGGTTTGTGTCTTTGGCAAACTACTTTTTTTGTGTGTGTGGAAAAATACTAGTTGGCCCTGTTTGTTTTTTTTTGTTTGGAAAAACACTAGCTGGCCCTGCTAGTGACTTGGCACGTTTCAACGTACTTTTTACATCCTCTAGCATTGTCGGCCACCACAAACACTGAACTAGGTTCACTAAAGTCCACTAAAGTCTTCTTATACCCAAAATGCCCTATTCGTCGTGACACTCTTATAGAAACAAGTTGCGCAAAGACTCATTACTTGGCACACAACCGTTTATTCCCAACCTTCTCAAGAGGCGTTGCCCCACCACTAGCATAAACTCGTAAGACATGGCTTTGTCCTGCACCTTGACTCTACAGATGATCTCAAACACGAAACCATCTTTCTTGTAGGCTTCCACTATGTGTCCAGTTACGTCGTCTTTAAGCTCATACTCGATTATCAAAGCGCCCTGATTATCTGCCCTGCGAGAAAGCCCATCAGCAACCTTAGCGCACTCTTCCTTGACATGCTGCAAGTGGAAGTCATACATGTCGATGACTTGGATCCACCATTTCAATGCATTAGAGAGAGCTGCGTTTTGATCCACTGAAGCATCTCATGGTCAGACCTTACCTATTGAATTTGCCAGGGAGATAGTGCTTCCAGTGAGTAGCCTAATAAAGCGCATAAGAGTCTCTCTCGCAGGTCGACCTTCCTAACTCCTAAGAAGGCATCTTCATACTTATGTACTCAATGGGCCTCAACGTTTTGCCCTCTTGCTGCTGAAGTACCTATGTCGAATTGGGTTGCATTAGTAGTAAAACAAATGGCTTGCCAGGATCTGGGATTTCCAGGACTTCATAATGTGTCAAAGCATACTCCCCGCTCACAGTCAATTGTCCATTCCCATGCGGTGACGAGGGCAGTACGATCGGTGAAGAGTCTCGCTATCATACTGTACTTCTTCACGAACGGACGATAATAGCCCGTCATCCCCAATTACAATCTGACATCAGTCACAAACTGAGGTCGTGTGTAGTCTTTAATGCTAGCCACTTTGCATCCGCATGCCTCAAACCTTCCGTGGAGATTTCATAACCCAAATACAAGATCTAGTGTGATCGAACTCACATTTTTCCAGATTTATCTTATATTTGTGGGCTGCCGAAGGAGTCCAAGCACGATATCTAAGTGTTGCGTGTGCTCCTCGATAGTTCTAC